GCCCCAGTTCCTTCCATTGCGGCAGCTGGCCAAAGCGCTAGGGCGTTGCTGGGGTCAGTCACAAGGCTCCATGTGGCACCCTAGAGGCAGGTCCTGGAGCAGCTGGGTACCAGCCCGCACAGGAGCAGGCGGCACGGCCCCTCTGTTGCTTATGCCCAGAGCGCCTCCCGTCGCCATCTGGCCCATCTGCAGTTCCGTTCCCTCGCATCAGGGAATGTCCCCTTGAATCCTTCTGGGTTTCCCGCCTCTCCTGAACCCCTCAATCTCCCGGCCCACCGGGTCTCGCCGCTGTTTCCCCACCCCAGCGAGGCCTCCAGCGCGTAGATGCCCAGACTCCAGGGAGCCGGGCGGGGCGAATCCGGGTGGTTCTTCCCTTTCCTTGTGAAACTGCTGGTTCTCAGTAACCAGTTGTCCCGGATCTCCCTCTTCATCATCAGCTGGCATGCGGGCTCCACAGTCACAGGCCTTGGAACTGTGCTTAGCAGGAAGGAGCCTCCCCTACAGCTGCCCGGGGCTTTCTGGGCAGCTGTTTCCCCGAGAATTCGACAAAGCCTTTTCCAGAGCCTCCTTCGATCACCCACAGTGACCACAGCCCCCTCTGCCTGGCCAAACGCAGACAAGGCCTCCTTCTGCAGTTCCCTGGACACTAATCGAGGAAGGCTTCGCACTGCGAGGGATGCAAGCGGCGAGCAAAGCGCACACGAAGCTGCTGCCAGGGAGCGACGTGTTGTCCTGCTCCACTTGGGCCATTGCGGCTGGACTTCGCGTTTCCCAGCGAATAAAGCCAAAGCCCTTACCCTGAGCGATGGAGACCTCACCGGCTTCCCCATCTTTCTCCAACAGTTTCCTCGTCTCCCCCTCGGTGATGTCGAGAGGAAGACTGCCCACAAGAGCCGGCTAGGCAGGGTAAAGGTCTTCTCTCCTGGTTTTCTAAGAGTCTCGAGGCCCATAGCCAGGCCTTCATCTCGGCTGCTGGCCTGTTCCCGTCTGCAGGTGTTGGTGGCGGCGGTGGCGGCTGCTGCTTCTGGCGCTGTCAATGATGATGCTGATGCCGCTTCCTTGGAGCGTGGTGTTGCTTCTCCAAGTCAAAGGTTTCATTGCTCTGCACGCTTGCAGCTCCACCGACTGGTCTCTCCTCACAGTAACAGGGACACTACACGGCCTCTACCGCCTGTATTTCCTTTTTAAGGAATATCTGAGGGGTGTTGTTGACAGCCATGGCAAATTAATAATACTGTTTTTCAAGGAAGCTCAGAGAAGAGGTAAGGTAAGGTAAGGTAAAGGCCCTCCCGTTGATCGTCGATTTGCTCGAGCGGGCCCAGTAACGTCTCCATTGGAGACTTTGTTGTTACTGTGTCTGGCATATCGAATACTCTTGGTAGCTTGCCGGGCTCTCCGAGAGGGGCGGAGGAATCGAACTCTGGTCGGCCATGTTGGCCACGTGTAAGGCGAACGCCCTACCCGCTATGCTATCGCTCAGAGAAGAGAGCACCAAATAAAGGGTGTTGTGAGGATCCTCCCAGGGTGGGAGAAGCATGCTGAAAGTAGACTATATACCAAACATGATTGCCACTCAATGCCTCTCTTCCAAAACACAGTACCCAAAAGAAGAGAGAGAGAACAAGGGGGAATATATACACTCTGCCACAGAGTCAGGGTGGGATGGGGGGTGGGAGGGATACTGGGACCCGTGGTGGTGGAAGATGGGCACTAGTGGAGGGATGGGTACTGGATCATTGTGTAACTGAAACCCAAGCACAAAAATTTGTAAGTCTATAACTGTACGTCATGGTGTTTCACTAAGAAAGAAAGAAAGAAAGAAAGAAAGAAAGAAAGAAAGAAAGAAAGAAAGAAAGAAAACCAGAATGCTGTGGATCTTTAACAAGAGGATGTGTTTCTTTTTTCAATGCTACCCTCTAGTGGCTGACTGGCTATTAGGAAAGGGCTCTTTGGAGAATGGTGGCTGTTTAGTGAGTCTGCAAAGAAGGAGACTTACCTCTTACTTAGACACTTATGGACTATAAACTATATGAACCATTGATTTTTCCCATTGCATTTCATGAAATTTTCTCAGATGAAATATTTCATGGTGTAGGAACCGCTTGATGCCTACTTTTCCTTTTAATTGATTTTTTTAAATCTAATTAAACAGAGGTGACTTACAAAGTTATTGATAGGTGAGCATGCAGTCTCACGCATACAATATTCCAACATGGATCCCATCGCCACCGTCAACTTGCCTCCACCAAAATTCCCACACTCTCTCCTCACTCAGCCCAACCCTGTGCCTCCCCTCTGCCCTCTCCTACCTGTCTCTTATTCTAGGCATTTCCCCTTGACTATTTCATATTTCTTCATCCAGATGTTCTATACCCCATAGGTAAATGAGATCATCTTATGTTTCTGGCTTACATCTCTTAGCATATCTTCAGTTCTAATCAGGTTGCAATAAATGCCGAGATCTCGTCATCCATTGCAAGGGCTTAGTATCCCATTGTGTGTGTGTATATGTATATATATATGCACCACATCTTCATGATCTATTCATCTGTTGTTGGACACCTAGGTGGGTTTCACATCTTAGCTATTGTGCTAAGCACTGCATGAATAATGTTTTGCATATATCTTAGCCACAATTTAAATAATTGTATGTCAAAAATGCGCACACAATGCCAAAAAAGAAATGCTGTTAGAATGACTATACTGATTTATTTTTCGTCCTACCAATGATAGGAAAATCAGAGGAAGGGAATAAATGCTTTTAAACATTTCTTGGCCAGACCTGTGACACCGTAGGTAGGATACCTGCCTTACACATAACTGACCTGGTTCAATCCCTGCCACCACAGTTGTCTCAAGTGCCCACCCTGAGTATAGAACCCAGGGTAAGATTTGACTAACATTGGTGGATGTTACCCTCAAAAAATCACTTAATTTTTTGTGGATAATCTGTGAGGCCAAATTATAAAACTACACACACAATATTTCAGTTACAGTAAAATTAATTTCAGTTAACAAAAGTAATTTTTAAAATAATTAAGCAAAGAAATACCTCAAAAAGCTAATAACCATGGTTTTTCTGAATATGAAACAACCCTCTCTACTCAGCACTGTAAGCAATGGTCAAATTGTACACGGGCTCCTAAAATTTGAATATTCACGTGAGTGGAGAAATAAGAAAGTTCTTAGAATCATACCAAATTTGTGCTATTCTGGAAACTCATGTACAAAATAAATTACATATTTTCCCCTAACCTTTAGAAGTTACAATTTAAGGATCCCAAAGGATGTACTTCCCTTTAGTTACAAGATTCAGCTATTAAATTGGTACTCTTGGAGAGAATCGGAGAAAGTGTGTTGAGAAGGTTTCATGTTTTTTTTCCTGCCTGGAACCACTAGATCAATATGAAACATTTTCTTCACTATAAAAACCAATATTTCTAGGTTCATTTACTTGTTTAGATTCTGAAGTACTAATTTATATCAAAAGTTTCTAATTCAAAGAAGAGTTTGTGAGGAAATTATGTGCAATTTTAATATTTCCAGCTTTGCTTTTACTGGAGTTTATAAAATTTTTACATCCATAGCTCAAAAGGAAACTCATATGATTATAGAAAAACTTAATATAGTTAAAATAGGGAACAGCACTGACGTTTTGCAAAGTTATTATAAACCAGTTAGTTTCTTATTTGTGTAGTCAAGAAAAGAAGTGTATTAGTACATATATAAAGGAATGGATAGAATTTTCTTTTCTGTTTTAAATTTCAGATGATAAAATTATAATCTGGAGAGTAACAACACATTAAACCTTTGCATTCTAATGTGGTTGACCAAAATGCCCAGAGAAATACAAGGGGTGATTATGTAGTTAATGTAAAGTAAGAAAATTATTTAAAATTGCAATGCTAAAAGCTTTATATTTTAGATAGATGATAGGAATTCCCCACAAACTGGATAACAATTGAGAAAATAATGATCTTGCTGTAAGGATAACAGATTTATTAGTCTTATTCTACCAAAGAAATTGATTTAGGGAAAGTCATAAATGATCAATGAAATTGATATCTTTAGCTGTCACAGCAAAGTTAAGTAATATGAAATAAAGGACACTTCTTTTGTTTGTTTAAAACACCACAGATCTCTGCACATAGCACAGACTCAAAAATTGAATTTGATAAATGTTTATTTAAGAAATGAGGATCAGACTAACGATATTGCTACTAACACTTTTTAAACTGAAAACAAACAAAAATAAATTATTATTAAACTGTGAAAATAAAAGATGCAAAATAATTACTTAAAAATTCTTAAATTTAATAGTTTCTATACTCTCATAACATCTAACCATACTATGATGTGCTTTAGTAAATGTTGTTTACTCATTTGTACTAATAATGTATAAAGTAACATCAGAGAATATTTCAAGTTTATTTGTTTTGGGCCATACCCAATGTGCTCATGATTACTCTTGGTTCTGCACTCAGGGATCATATGGAATGTCAAGGGATCACCTTACCTTGTATTATTATTTCTTTGCCCTGTATTTCAAGGTTTATATAGCAATGTTAGAATTGACATAATTATGCTAAGTATGTAAAGAATTTTCAATTGCCAAAAACTGTTAAAATACTAATTTTTTATAAGAGCATATGAAACTCATAATCTGTACCTATGTTATAGAATGCATTAGAACTTGTTCTTTTGTTTTCAAAGTTCAAAACTACATCATAACTGTTAGAGCTAGTTATAGTGAAAAATTTGATCATCAATAGAGTGAATTTGTTTCAGCTGATATTGCACACATTAATACTGTATTATTAAATCTATTAAATCTGCAGTGTCCTCTGTTGTGCCTTTCTGAAGTGAGAATAATGGAATTGAGAGGATACAGAGTTGACAATGGCAAATGTGTTGTGTGATATAAAGAGATGGCAATAGGCTAATAACTGTACCTGATCTGGTTTCCACTGAGGCAGTAAACTTTTAATTTCGTTTTGCAGGATATGAATGATTATCCTCCAGTATTTAGTAAGCGAATCTATAAAGGGATGGTAGCTCCAGATGCCGTCAAGGGCACACCTATCACAACTGTTTATGCTGAAGATGCAGACCCTCCTGTAAGTAGAAGACATTGATTAATACTCTGGTTTCTACTAAAGAATACCTTTAACAGTCACCACTGACCTAATTCCCACGCCAGTACAGCAGCGTCATGAGTTTCACTCTGCTTAAGGTCAGACTTATTGTGTATCTTGCCTGTTGCATTTGCAGATGCAGACGCTATTTCAAGCTTTCATTACTGAGCTTAGACAATTGCATGGTTTTATGGTCGACCAATTTTATCTAGCACACATGAAAGATGAATGTGGATAGAACAATTTGTATTTGGTATCAAAATCATTTATATTTTTAGAACAGTGGATCTTAATCTGGATAGTTTTACCTTATACACATTCTAATTTTTCTATTAGAATGTGTATAATATTAAAACATGTTTATAATATAAAAACAAGTAATATTTCTATTCTGTTAACAAAGTCTAAACTAGAATAACACATAATATTTATTTTACACATTGATATTTATTTAAGTAAGCTAAAATCTTAATATGTATTTGTGAACTTATTTATTGGTTATTTTATTAGCCATAATAATTTTGAGCAATACAAATTGCCCCTCAAGAAAGTGTATTTTCGCACTCTTTACAATAGCCAGAATCTGGAAAAAACCTGAGTGCCCGAGAACAGATGTCCAGTTAAAGAAACTTTGGTACATTTACATAATGGAGTACTATGTAGCGGTTAGAAAAGATGAAGTCATGAAATTTACATACAAGTGGTACTACATGGAAAATATCATGTTAAGCAAAATGAGTCAGAAAGAGAGGGACAGACACAGAAATATTGTGTTCATCTGGGGAATATAAAGTAACAAAATGGGAGACTAACACCCAAGAATAGCCAAGATAAGTACCAAGAGGTTCACTCCATGGCTTGGAGGCCAGCCCCGCATACTGAGGGAGAAGGCAGCTCAGATAGAGAAGGGAGCACCAAATAAAGGGTGTTGGGAGGATCCACCCAGGATGGGAGAAGCGTGCTGAAAGTAGACTATAGACCAAACATGATTGCCACTCAATGCCTCTCCTGCAAACCACAACACCCAAAAGGAGAGAGAGAAAACAAAGGGGAATGCCCTGCCACAGAGGCAGGGTGGGATGGGGGGGGATGGGGTGGTGGGAAGGATACTGGGATCCGTGGTGGTGGGAAATGGTCACTGGTGGAGGGATGGGTATTTGATCATTGTATAATTGAAACCCAAGCACAAAATTTGTAAGTCTACAACTGTACCTCATGGTGTCTCACTAATAAATATTCAAAAAAATAGTAAAGTAAAATATCATGGTCACGGTCCTCCCATTGTTCATTGATTTGCTCAAGCGGGCCTGGTAACATCTCCATCATGAGACTTGTTGTTACTATGTGTGGCATATTGAATACGTCACGAGTAGCTTGCCAGGCTTTGCCGTGTGGACAAGATCCTCTCGGTAGCTTGCCGGCTCTCCGAGGGGGACGGAGGAATCGAACTCGGGTCAGCCATGTTGGCTGAGTGCAAAGCAAACACCCTACCCGCTGTGCTATCGCTCCAGGCCAAAGTAAAATATAAAGTATATAAATAAAAGAAAGTGTATTTTTCAATTAAAGCATCAGTATAGTAGAAGTGAGGTAAAATTTTATATAATGTTATTTTAATGCATTAAAATATTATAAGGAAGAGTATCTTCATGTTTTTTTATATTTTTAAAAATATTTTATTTACTTATTAGTCTTAATATCAAAATGCTGAGATATTGTCCGCCCCTCACCTTTTTTTTTGGGGGGGTTTTGGGTCATATTCAACAGTTCTCTGTTCTAATAAGAAAATAGATGAACTGAGTTTTATAAGAGATTGACAAGATAAGTTTTGTAATGCTCATATAAATACTATTTTATAGTGTTATTTGCTTGATACAAGGTTAATGAAACTCATAATACTTCTTTTTGTAATTGTTACCACCTATTTAAAAGTCATAAGGTTTACAAAAATAAAAAGACCTTTTAGCTACAAACTCCCTTTCTCAAGTACATTGAATATTGAATATTTTGAAAAACCTGTAACCTTGGATTACAAAACTGAGATTGCCAAACTGTAGAGGGAGGAAGAGGAAAGAAAGAGGCAGACAAAGTAACATCAGAGGAGTGGTGGATGATCTCAGGCACTTTGGGGGTATTGAACATACAGTAATGGTTAACATCAAGACTGTAAATATTAACCATTATTACAATGTTGCCTAAACTATAATAATAGTAAACATATCTGAAACTACTTCATTAAATCTTTGAAAGTGTGACAGGTGAATTTACATAGTTTCTAACACATGAATGAATGTGCTGTTAACACATGCATGAATATGTTGAGTGCAAGGTTGAGAGATAGTAAGGCAGGTAAGGCGCTTGCCATTACTACCCTACAGAGATGTCTCTGGAACCCAACCATCTACAATCCAGGATCCCAGAAGCTGACCCAGGTTCAATCTCTGTCGTCCCCCATGCTCCCCTGAGACCATTAAAGTGATTACTGAGTGCAAAATCAGGAGCTAAGTACCCAAAAACAATTTTTAAAAGTTACAAAGAATTTTAGATAAAATAATATGTTGAATTTGTTATTTGCTTATTTTTTTATTTTATTGAATCACTGTGAGATACAGTTACAAGCTTCCATGTTTAAGATTCAGCCATACAATGACCGAACACCCATCCTCCACCAGTGCACATTTTCCAACACTAATGTCCCAGGATCCCCCTCTCACCCACCCCTGTCTCTATAGCAAACAATTTCTCCAATACTCTTTCTCTACTTTGGGGCATTATGTTTTGCCCAAATTTTCCCACCACCATTCAAGCCTGCCTGCCAGGGGCAGATGCTAGATAATTTATTTTCCATTGCTTATTTTGAATATCATGAGAGTTCACATGGCCACTTTGTGGCCAGGAGCTTCTGGGATCCTGGATTGTAGATGGTTGGGTTCCAGAGACATCTCTGTAGGGTAGCAATCTATTTTGGAGATTGAATTGGGAGTCTCTGGACCAGGGTTACTGGTGCGCCAAGATGGTGCCTGGTAGAAGTTTGTGGGCATGAAAGCTGGACCATGGAGCAGGCAGAGAGCTAGGGAGGGACTGCCCAGCGCCCCTGCCGCCATGCGGTCTGGAGATTTAGTCCTGGTACCTGCATACCTGGACCTTGCTTGTGGGAGCTCTGGGGTGCCAGGATTCCATCTGGAGTAGGAGGGGAGACTGCACCTGCTCTATCTGGGGTTCCCCAGTGAAATTGGCTCAGTGTGGGACTCACAGGTACCTCCAGTGCTGTGGGGCCATCCAGGACTGGTTGCTATGTCTCTGGACCAGGGCTGTTGGTATGTTAAGCTGCTTAAAAAAACATTTTAAACAAACTATCAAAAGAAGAAAATACATCAATATTAGCAACACATAATAAAATTTATTCAACAGAGGTTTCGAGTATCAGCTTGATACTAATCTTTGTGTTAACTGGTTTGGCTCTCCAGATGTGCTGAGACTGAAGGGAATCCAGAATCGATATAAAAGTTAATAACTCACCATACTGCATGATTATAAGTAAATGCAACAGCTATAAAATACATAAAGCAAAATGTTTTCTAAGAAAGTTTCATTAGTGTAAGATTGAAAATGGTGTTAGATATAATAACATTAATTATATCTGACTAAATGATGCCTACCATATGTCACAGAAGTCAAACTTTTAATGGCAAAATCTTCACTTTACTTTTGGCATTTGTGACCTTGGAATCTGGGTTGAAATTCTGATAATTTAAGGGTGAAATAACTTATCTTTGTTTTTGTCATATAATGAAGCTGTAATATCTGAATTTTTTTAGAAAGAAGTCAGTTGTTATACCCCAATTATCCCTTTTTAAACTTTGTGATTTTTTTCCTTTTCAGTATTTAATTGGCATTATTATGTTTTGTTTGGGGGCCAAGCCCAGCCGTAGTCAGGGCTTATCCCTCTCTCTTCACTCTGCACTCAGGGATTACTCCTGGTGGTGCATGAGGGGCCAGGTGGGATGCTGAGGTAGAACATGCAAGACTTGGACCCTACTGCTGTACTATCTCTCCAGCCCCTGACACCATGATTTACAAAATTGTTAATAAAAGAGTTTTGGCAACCTGAAGTTTTTGAGTGGGAATAAACTAGGCTTAAATTCAGTATTTCTTAGGGAAAAGTTCTTTGGCTTTGTAGTCTCAGTAGAAGTTTTAATAGTTTAATAACTAACACTGTCTTTTAAATAGATGGAAGCTAGATGTTGAACATTCACTTGGAAAAAAATATAGGCATACTTATTTTAGTCACTATAAGTATTTTATCAGATTCAGTTTTGGTCTTCAAACACAAGAAATCTTTCATAATAACTAACACTTAGCACTTAACTTTTAACTCATTTATACAAGTTTGGTCCCTTAAATTAACATGGCTATGATCTGGCTACCCGCACAGCAGTATAAAATATCACTAAGTTCCATGAAAATTTCCAGTTATATATGATATTGCATCATTAAAAAAGTTGAAAATTATTTTATTTTATTATTTGTTTAAAGTGGGAACAAGGATATTTAACTGGCTTTATCCAGTTTTCTAGTCTGTTAATGTTATAAAGGTTTTTTATTGCTGGAAGAATTTCATTTTATATCTTTAAGTGTTTCCACACCAAGTCTAATATTTGGGGTTGTAAGTATCTAAGATAATACTTTATTTAATAGTCTCTCTTCTAAACTGGATGGTGAGGTTCTTGAGGTGAGGAAGCAAAAAGGTTCTTTACTTTTTATTTTCCGTGCTTGCTGCTTAGTGATATGTTAAGAAATATGTGTTGAATAAATGAATACATTAATATTTTTTCTGTATGCCTCAGGAGTGATTAAAGCTAGATATTCAGAAGTTTAGTTACAACTGTTGGAAATTTTCTTAATGCCTCCAAAGCTTCTGTTTGGCCATTTGAGGGCTGTAAGATTTACAACAGATGATAAATATGTAAAACTTAACATACTTT